CCAAACTACATTGTTGCTTAACTGCCAAACCACTGGTCTGACATTAAAGAGGCAAATTCCCCAAGCTCAAGGTTCCTCGGCTGTAGTACAAACCCACTGTGTGTACACCATCCACCTGGGCCCCTTCACATCACTGCTTGGACTTGGGGGAGGTAATGGGCCCCTGATTCATGGCAACACCACAAAAATGGAAAGAAGCACCGCCTGATCCTGCGCCTGTGTTTTCCTCTAAAAGTTTTATACATTTAAGGAGCCCTGGTGGCACAGTTGTTAAGCACTCAGCTGCCAACTGAAAGGTTGGCAGTTCAAACTCACCAGTTGCTCCATGGGAGAAAGATGTGGCAGTCTGCTTCTGTAAAGATTTACAGCCTTGGAAACCCTATGAGGCAGTTCTATTCCTGTAGAGTCTACTCCTATAGAGTTGCTGTGATGGTTAAGGCTATGTGTCAACTTGGCTGGGCCACAATTCTCAGTGGTTTAGCAGTTAAGCAATGATGTAGTTGGACAGCTATGTAGTGATGTAATTTGGCAGTTATGTGATAATGTAATCATCCTCCATGATGTGATCTGATGTGATCAGCCAGTCATTTGTAAGAGGAGCTTCCTTAGGGGTGTAGCTTGCATCCTACATACATATATATATATATATATAGATGTTCTGAGAAAGCTTACTTGCTCTGGATCCTGCATCCAGCTCTTCATCATCCGACCTCTGGTTCTTGGGGCTTGAGCCAGCAACTTGCTGTCTTACCTGCCAATCTTGGATTCATCAGCTTCTGCAGCCTGTAAGCCAGTAGACTGCCATCTGACCTGCTGATCTTGGGTTCGTCAGCCTCTGCAGCTACATGAGTCAGAAGCCTCCAGCCTAATGCCTGACACACAGACTTGAGACTTGCCAGCCTTTACAACTGGTTTTGCTCCTCTAGAGAACCCAGCCTATGACATTTGGTACTGAGAATGGTTCTAGAGAAACAATACCATAAGGATGAGTTTTCTAAGTTGGTTCTCAAATGTAATTAGTCTTAAAGGCACTGATGAGTCTGCCTCCAGTAGGAT